TGGTGTCTTCTGTCTACTCGACACCCCCCCCATCCTTTTACTGGATTGTGCTGAGGATCAAGCGGGGAGGAGCGGACCCAAGGGGCACCTTGAGTTTCAGACGAGAAAACGCGGGATCTCGGTGCCACCTCAGAGGGGCTCGCAGGGCACACAGAAATGCACGAACGAACGAACCAAGAAACATTGCAGAGCCGGATGGGACCCTACGGATCATCGAGTCGAGCCTCTTCCAAGGAGGGCCAAAAGGGGAATCGAACCTGTAGCTCCGCAGCCAGACCACCTAAACCAGGAAGCTCGCCAACACCCGCCTCTTTTATACATAACCCGGTGATCTCCGGGCAACCTGGAGTTGCCAACTTTTTTATCCAGGCCCTGCTCCTGTGCCTTTAGGAGCAGCGGCTTGACGGAGAAGCACTCCATTCGAATCCTGCCCTTGGGAAAGCAAGCGAGGCTGGCGGCTGCCCAATGGAAAGAGGGCTGGCAGCCCTAATTAGAAGGGAACCTCATCCTTCCCGCTTAATTAACAGAAGCTTCATCTGATTAAAGAAACTGACACTGAACCGGGGAGAAAATTAATCAGACCTCTGGCAGGTGACTGGGCCCTTTCCGAGAAGTCGGCAAAAAATAATTTATCTTCTGCTCAACTTGGAGAAATAGGGGGACAACTCTTCTAAAAACTTTATAGCAACCATAAAGCTGCAGGAGTTTGAGAGCCATCAGTGAACGTCCCTTTAAGAAAGTCATTTAAATTCATACATTGCCTGCTGCCACTTTGCTTTAACTTTGGGTGCAGTTTAGTTCTTGATTTTATCTACCCACTGCCAGTGATTATGAGCCCATATAATAAGCCAATTCATTAAATTATAACCATTTCACCGACTAGCAAGAAACCTCACAGCTATCTCTATATCTAGCTATAGGCAGAGAGAGTCTTTTTGAATGTTTTTATTGTTGCTATAGCAACCCTAATAAGGCTTTCAAGCTGTGATGATGATGATGGAAAGATACCAGGCATGGCCAATCAAAATGATAAAGACATTTAACTGTATTATATAAGAGATATGGGTTTTAATCTAAAATCTTAGTAACTGTTAAATATCGACTTATTGTTATATATATGCTGTTCCTAATATTGCTGGGTTTTTTGTAGCTCTGATGATGGTATTTATTTCTGGAATCTGAAACTGCTTATAATACTGTGTGAAATTTCTTGATATTGTGCCCAAAGCCCTGATGACCATGGGGACCCATGAAGTGTTTCCTCCACAAGCAAGATGTTTCGATGGCCAGGTCTCTGGATTGGGTTAATTTTTCAACTCTT